GTTGCAAGTGGATTTTCAAAAGAAAATTAAGACCCGATGGGTCAATTGAGAGGTTCAAGGCAAGACTTGTAGCCAAAGGCTATAAACAGAAGTTTGGGGAAGATTACTTCTGTACCTACTCACCTGTGACAAAAATAGCAACAATACGGGTGCTATTCGCGTTGGCTGCAGCGCACAAGTGGACAGTCCATCAAATGGATGTCAAGACGGCCTTCCTAAATGGGGATCTAGAGGAAGAGATCTACATGGAACAACTGCCTGGTTGCGTTGACCCATGACAAGAAGGAAAGGTATGTAGACTAATAAAGTCCCTTTACGGGTTAAAACAAGCTCCCAAACAGTGGTATGAAAAATTTCATAGGACACTAATGGATTTGGGATACATGATCAACAGATCAGACGCTTGCCTATACGCAAAAGAGGTTGAGTCAAGCGTGGTACTCATCTGCATCTACGTTGATGACATGTTAATCTTCAGTCCTAATGTCAACGCAATAATAGAGACTAAAAAGTCACTGTGTGAGAGATTTGACATGAAGAACTTAGGGGAGGCCGATGTGATACTTGGAGTAAAGGTCACCCGAAATGGGAATGACTACAAGCTATCACAAAGTCACTACACTGAAAAACTATTAAGAAAGTTCGACAGTTATCAAGTGACTCCGGCCACAACCCCATATGACCCCAGTGTAAAGTTGACAAAACACACTGGAGTAGGGGTAGCACAGGAAGATTATGCGAAACTAATTGGGAGCTTGATGTTCTTGATGAATTACACTCGACCCGACATTGCTCTTGCGGTAAACAGGCTTAGTCGGTACACTCACAACCCGAGTGAAGCCCATTGGCATGCACTAAAACGTGTATTACGCTACCTAAGAGGAACAATCGAATGGGGGCTTAATTATACTGGGTTTCCAAACGTCCTAGAGGGATATTGTAACGCTAACTGGGTTAATGACAGTGACGATGTCAGTTCCACCAGTGGCTACGTATTCACCATGGGTGGAGCAGCTGTGTCATGGAAATCAACTAAACAATCCTGCATAGCCAGATCAACAATGGAAGCTGAGTTCATAGCTCTGGATCTGGCTGGGCAAGAGGCTGAATGGCTAAGAAACCTACTGGCAGACATGCCGTTGTGGGGGAACTCCACTCCATCAGTGCCTGTAAATTGTGACTCACAAACTGCCATATGTGTAGCAAAAAATAGTGTTTATAATGGGAAAAGGAGACACATAATAGTCAGACATGAGTCTGTAAGGCAGCTAATAGTAAATGGTGTAGTCACACTAGAATATGTGAAATCCGAGAGGAACATTGCAGATCCTCTAACGAAAGGGCTAAACAGGAAAGCCATCCTTGGTACGTCAAGAGACATGGGATTAAAATAAATGGTAAATGAAACCATAAATCCTGTGTACTCATCTGAGACATAGAAAAGTGTGCTCAATAAAGCTGATGTGTGCACCAGAGTTCAAAACTACCCACTTCTCAAAGAGTTCAAGACTCAGTTCACTCCTGAGAAGTAAGTTACTCAGGTCACTACGTGCCAGTTCAAGTTCTACACTGGCATTAAGATCAGCTGACATTCCAGTCTCCACACTCCTTGAATGTGTGGGGGATTGTTGGAAATTGACATTCAAGAATGTGGTTTAACTTTAAGTTTGCTTTAAGGCTTGTCCCACATTGGTTTCCTAGAAGGAAATTTCCCACCTTTTTAATACCACTCCAAATGGGTTCTTTGAAATGTTTTCAAGAGAGAGGAAAGGGGAAGTCTCGCGCGCGCCGCCGCCCGCCCGGCTCGTGCCGTGCGCGACGCGGTGTGGTGTGGTCAAAGTTTTGTTTTGCTGTCCGACTTTTTCGCTTGAATTAGTCTACTTTGTCCGATTTTTGCGCTTCAGAAATTGTCTTGTGGCCAGGAGAAAATCGAGCAGAACAATTCAGCGTAACCTCTCCACTCTTTGCTTTATTCTTTGTGGAGGTCGTGGGGAAGGCCGTTGGTTCGAATTAGTATAAGTACCAGGCCTCCCAAACCTCATTTTACAAGAATAATTCCAGAGCAAAACGTATTCTCTCTATGCAAAGAATATACGTGAGTTATTCTGTGTTTGCTGGTCGAAAGCAACCGGGTTAAAGACTTGCACAGTCTCCGGCAATTAGCTTTTAAGGCAGTGTATCCACACGTCACAGAAACAAAAATACTCCATTCTCGTTTCTTTAAAAACAGCCTTAAACACATTTAAAAACATTCCCCGCACAACAATATCTGGTGGGGAAAACATGTGCACTTACGAGGCCGACTCCACGAGTCTGACCGGGTAGGTCCACCCATTCGTATGCTGGGCCGATTACTCTGTATCATACCTTGGGTCCTAAGCCCAATCAAGCTTCATGGCCGACTCCACGAGTCTGACTGGGTTGGTCCGCCCATTCGTACGCTGGGCCGACCACTCTGCGTCGGACCTTGATTCCTAAGCCCAATCAGCTCTAAAGCCGACTCCAAGAGTCTGACCGGGTATTATCCATTATGGGAGTTTGGAGGAGGGATTTTTCTGCATATGGCGGATTTAGATTCCAATCACATGTGCCGCACAACAGGGGGAAGACTTGGATATATTCTAGGCATGGCAAGAAAATGCATATACATTCCAAAATATTGCTCATGGAATTTCTCATCTACGAGGGGCTATATGAAATGAAGGAAAAGAAGAGCTACAACCGAGAGTCACCCCAACTAAAGGGCTCGAGTTAGTAAGAGAAAAAATCAAGGGTCCAAACCCTTAGAAGTTTACTAGAAAAAGAAAAATCACGGCCAGGAGTCTCATCGATTGAGGGACTTGGCAAAGAAGAAAAGAGAGAAACAAAAGGGCACTGATCCTTAGACGTTTCTAAGATAGAAAAATCCTAAAGGGTCGCCTTGACTGAGGGAATCGGCGAGAAAAGAGAGAAACAATGGGGCACCGACCCTAAACGTTTCTAAGATAGAAAAAGCCTAAGGGGTTGCCTCGACTGAGGGACTCGGCGAGAAAAGAGAGAAACAACGGGGCACTGACCCTAAACGTTTCTAAGATAGAAAAAGCCTACAGGGGTCGCCTCGACTGAGGGACTCGGCAAAAAAAGAGAGAAACAAAAGGGCACTGACCCTTAGACGTTTCTAAGATAGAAAAAGCCTAAGGAGTGGCCTCGACTGAGGGACTCGGCAAGAAAGAAAGAAACAAAAGGGCACTGACCCTTAGACGTTTCTAAGATAGAAAAAGCTTAAGGAGTCGCTCGACTGAGGGACTCGGCAAGAAAAGAGAGAAACTAAAGGGCACTGACCCATAGACGTTTCTCAGATAGAAAAAGCCTACAGGGGTCGCCTCGACTGAGGAACTCAGCAAGAAAAGAGAGAAACGACGGGGCACTGACCCTTAAACGTTTCTGAGATAGAAAAGGCCTAAAGGGTCGCCTCGACTGAGAGACTCGTCAAGAAAAGAGAGAAACTACGGGGCACTGACCCTTAAACGTTTCTGAGATAGAAAAAGCCTAAAGGGTCGCCTCGACTGAGGGACTCGGCAAGAAAAGAGAGAAACAAAAGGGCACTGACCCTTAGACGTTTCTAAGAGGAAAAGCCTAAAGAGTCGCCTCGACTGAGGGACTCGGCAAGAAAAGAGAGAAACAAAAGGGCACTGACCCTTAGACGTTTCTTAGAGAAAAAAGAGAAAAGAAACAAGGGTTCTGACCCTTAGACGTTTCTTAGAAAAAGCCTACAGGAGTCGCCTCGGCTGAGAGACTCAGCAAGAAAAAAGAAAAGAAACCAGGGTTCCGACCCTTAGACATTTCTTAGAAAGAAAAGAAACTACCACCGAGAGTCACCTCGACTGAGGGACTCGGCAAATATAGAAAGAATCAAGGGTCCAAACCCTTAGAAGTTTATTAGAGAAAGAGAAGTTACAGTCGAGAGTCACTTCGGCGGATAAAGAAAAGGGGGCTCGAAGCCATGAGGTCATCTCCGCTGAAGCAGTCGGTCATATAGCAAAGAGGAGTCATAAGGATGAAATCAAGGAGATCACACGATTCAAGCAATCTGCAGGGAGAAGACGGATACTTTCCATTATTCGAGCTAAAGAGGGCTCAATATTGAAAAGTGAGGGACTAGTTAATGGGGTGTGAACCCCGTGGGCTCGGGGCCCAAGAAGAAAAGGGATCAAGCCCAGAGGAAGAGAGGTCCAGGAGGAGAAAGGGCCAGGTCCAGAAGAGGAAAAGCTCAAAAGAGATACGATTCAAACCGAGGAGTCGGCGCGAGTGTGGGATCGGCACAGGTAGAAGGTCGGCCTAAACTAGCCGTTAGCCCATATTAAACTCCTAATTATTACCCCTCAATTCCTAACCACCCAATTATTACCCAATTATTATTATTATCCATAACCCCCACATGAACTCCCACTTACTAACCAAATTAAGCCATCATTATCACTCATAAAGCATACTAATTACCCCTAACGGACAATTTTGGAAGAGCTAGCTATAAGAAGGAGTAGAAGAGCACAAGGTGGGGATTCATTCATTCATCTACACATGGGAGCTGAGGACTCTCCCAAACACCATTCTCCCACTTACTATTCTTTCTCCCATAGAAAGACATGTCACTCTCCCACAACCACTCTCCACTCATCTAAGCAAGAAGACCACATGAAGAAGACTCCTTATGAGAAGACTCTACCACTCTTCCACGCATGAAGAAGACTCCCTCTCAACGTACAAAGTATAGTAGCTCTATCTCTACACAATATCACATACACAAAATAGCTCTACAATATGTACAAAGACACCAACAAAATACATAGTGAATTTAGGCTTGACACCGCCCAAAAATGCCTGTGGTTTTCACCTTTCAGTTTCCACGTAAAAATCATTGAGTCATATTTCTTCTATTTTAATAGCCTTATTATGAAAGGTGAATCCACCAACTATAGTTGTATTGGACCTCCCTGGGCCCAAAAACCCTAAAACCAACAATCCTGGTGGTTGTACAACTTCATTGCTCTCCTTTTGTCTCCACCATTTATGTTTGGAATTCTCTTATTCTTTTGAGCGGTATTTTGTTTCTATTACTTATTTATGTATATTATTTCTTACTTATGTTTTACAAACTCAATAGATTTTATTGATACTCTTCCATACTGCATTTTTAAGGTTGTCAAACTAAGTGAAATATCGAATTAAGAAAATGCTGAGCTATCCTTGTTTATTGAAGTAAACTTGGCCAGGTAATGCTTGACTTGCCCAGTGATCTACCTCCTTATGATAATTGCAATCATTTCTCTCAGATGATGTTTTTCCTGAAATACTCATTAATTCTCATCTCTTTTGATATATTGTGCTTCCATATAGGATTGGGAACCCATCCCTCTGCCAGAGAATTCCAAGGAAGACATTCTTCTATTCTTCAAACGTTAAGACCCTCTTGGGCAGGAGATACGGTATTATACCTGCTCAGTTTTTTTTTTTTTTTTTTTTTTTTGTTAGATAAAATTTGGTTATTCTAAGAGATAGTCATTCCATGTTTGTCTAATGTCAACCTATTTAAACAATTTCAAGTAAAATCTGCATGAAAAAAGATTCATCACTAAGTTTTGGTACTCCTATGAATGTTATAATGTGAAATGATTATCATATTAGCATCTAGGTTCCAATGAAAATTCGGTTGAACCACTACTTTATTTATAATAGCATATTTTTATGCAATTGCTTACACTACGCTATGGAATGCTTAATGACTGACGCTGAAGAAAGATTATGAATTACTGTTGATGCTTGTACAATATCTGTGCCTCTGTTTTAGTACGTGTTTTCATTCCTTTATTGGATCCAACTATCACCATTGTTTTCTTTATATTTGGTCTTGTTCATGCACATGGTGCTATTGGAAACATGGCGGACAAGCGAATTGTGTACTTGACTCTTTATTTCGATACTTATGAATTGAGCTTCATGCTTTGGCTTTTGCTCTCAAACTATTACTTTTTCTATATTGGGTCTCCAACATGCATGATCTTTAATTGCATATTATTATATATTCATTTATACTGAGTATATCGTTCTTGACTATTTTTATCTACCAGGTGGCAAAGCTATTGATGAAAAAGGGCATACTTAGCACCACATTGAAAGTAAATTGGATATTTTTGCTTTGGGACTGTTTTGTCTAAACTAAACATGTTTATTTGTATAGTCTCACCTTTCAAAATTGCCAACAGATACATTATATGACTATTTGTTATAATTAGTGTCTTTGCCTTTAGTCTTTACAAAGTTGTATGAAACATTTCATTGTGGTAAAGATGATGAAGTCTTTTAATATATTGATTGAGTTTACTTTGATTGCATTAGGGTAAAAACTTAACATAACATAATATCAATTAGTGAGAAAAAATGTATTACAAAAATTAATATTCAATGAGAAGTTAAAATATATACAAAATTATAAAATTAATATTTGACACTAAATTATAATTTTTACTGATGGGCAAAATTTAATATAATGAGGAAAAATTTTGTTTAGTAAATAGTATAATATTACAGACGGGATTTTCTATCATTACAAGAATATAATGAGAGGAAATTATGTTAGTGAGTAGTTGTATGAGTGACAGGATTCTTTGCCACAAAAAGAATATTTTAGTGACGGTAAATAAACCATCACTATATCTTTATTAATGATGGTATCATATCACGTCACTATTTATTTTTATCCACGGAAGATATAACAACGAGTGACGACGGTAAATTTTCCGTTATTAAAGTCTTTTTTAATGATTTTTTTTTTTTGTTTATTTTTAGTGACGGTTTTACCTCTCACTAATGAACAATTTTATTGTAGTGATGGTTTCTTTAAATATTTAATATGGTAGTACATTGGAATACTAACAGTTGTTTTAATTATTTCGTGTTTCAAGGCATTACATAAAAATTTGTAAACAACCGCCCTTATCCAAGTGTGAAATACAACACTGCATATTACTCGATTTCTATATATACTACTACTAATCGACCACATTTTGTTTAGGCGGGATTTTTTTGCTCTAATGTGGTTCCCTAGGCGTATGGTTATTTTATTTTATATAATAAGATAAGATTAGGAAAATAATTAGTATATATGTGTAATTGTTAATTAAGAGAACAATTAGTCATTTCATTATTATAATTGTATGATTTTAGGCAGTGAGATAGTATATATATATATATAGGGTATTTATGTAATGCAAAGACATGCATAAATCATTTATATTGAAGAGTTCTTCATTTTCTTTCATTACATTGTTTTTCTTTTAGAGTTACTATAACTCGAATACGGATCGGAGCCAAAAACCTGCTCGAAAGGTTTCTTTTGTTGCATACTAAATTTCACTACGTAAACATTGATTCCATTGGTGAGAGTATCCCTTACCTTTTTATTTTCATTATTATTGTTATTTTTTTTGTTAGCCGCATTCCTTAGAAATTAAAAAAATGGAAAAATTGACCAAAAGAAAAAAAAAAAAAAAAAAACGACAAAGGAGAAAATTCAAAAAAAAAAAAAAGGAAAAAAATTGAAAAAAGTTACAGCAAAAAAAAAAGTAAATTTATTTATATTAGAGAAAATGGCACTTTTCCCCCTAAGTTATATATTTATAGCACTTTTTCCCCCTCAATTATTTATGTAAGCACATTAGCCCCTCAATTATTTTAAAAGTGGTGGTTTTTCCCCCTAATATATTAAAATGACACTTCTACCCTTAAAGTAAACATTTTATTTATTTTACTTCTCCAACTAATTATTGCGTATATGTAGCGATTACCACGGTTCGGTTCGAACTGAACCAGACACTATAGCAATCGAATTAAAAGTTTTCGGTTATGATTCAGATCTAGAACCCAATATTTGGATTTCAATTTATTAAATTTAAGAATTAAAAAAAAAAAAAAACTGGATCATGAACCATGAACCGGCGGTTCCAGATCCGATTCGCGATTTTGAACCGTCTTTATTTTAAAATTTTATTTTTTATTTTAAAATAGTCTAAATTCAACAATAAATGTATTTTATTTTTTCAGTTCGAAACATGAACCGGCCATTCCGGTTCGCGATTTTAATAAACTCTAAATATCGCGTTTTGATTATAAATTGTAATTGGAATATTTTGGTTTGGTTGCTATAGTATCTGTTTGGTTTGAACCAAATTATAATAATAATTTGTTGGAGAAGAAAAATAAATGAATTATTTATTTTAAATATTTATTTTAAGGGTAAATATGTCCATTTAACATTTCAGGGGGAAAAAGAGCCACTTAAATAATTCAGGGGGAAAAAGTACTATAAGTATATAACTCAGGGGGAAAAAGTGTCATTTTCCCTTTATATTATTATAGAAAATACTACTCGATGCTTATTGGTTTCTGTACACTAAATATGGTATTCAATAGATGATTTTGTATTGGTATGAGATCTTTTCTACAAAAGGACCCGTACAATATATTCATATCTTGAAAGATGAGAATTACACCTTCCAAGCTTTGGTATGGTTTGATTCTATCTTACATACATTCATCGCCAAACAAGCTCTTCATGGCCAAAATATTTATGATGGGTGTTGTGGTTTAGACATTAAATATCCTGATTTAGAGCTGTTGGTTGTGTATGGAAAATTACAAACGGACCAAGATGACATTTTGGAATGTCACACACCTAATTATTCTAATTCAATTTTTCAAGAAGAACCAAGTAGCCCAGAGTCCAAGGAATCAACAATAGCAACAGTTTTCGATCTCCCAATCACTCACAATGAAAGCAACATCCAAGATTTCAACAACATAGGGTCTCTTGAGAATATCTTGAGACAAGACTTGGGAGTAGTACCTTAGACTTAGAACTCAACATTGGGAAGCAAGAGAAAAAAAAAATACCAACAAATCAAGTAGAAAAATGCAACAAGCATTTACATTTCTTCCATTGTTTGATCTTTTTTTTTTTAGTATTATTCTTTTTTATTCACATATCAATAATGATTTTTTTTAAAAAAAAAAAGATCTTAAACAAATCAGAAAAAAAAAAATCACAATTTTTTTCTTTGTCATTATCTTTTTTTTTTTCATCACAATTCTTGAAGTTAACTTATTGATTTGTTTACATACCGCCATGACAAATTGGTTAGTAACAAACCTTTCAGTTTTAGTCCATCATCAAACTATCTACACCAATAATAATCTCCAACTCCAAACCTTTAATCAAATATTGCAATGTTTGATTGTATCAATTGAGAAGATTAACCATGGAACTAGCAATTATTCATCTCACAACAATATTCATAAATTGGAAAAAGATCAACGTCAACTAGATGGCTTGAGAAAGCATGTAGATATCCTCGAGGAAACAAGGCCAAAAGATCAACTACAGTTTGAGGTGTCAATGAATGTGGTTGATGATAAAAGTGTTCATGATATTACGAAGTTAAGCATGGACAAAAATTTACAAATCTTCGATAGGCCTCCACCATTGATATCACCACCACCCCCTCCTAATATCCCATTGACAGTTGAAGAACCAATGACGGTTATGAAGAATTTTACAAGTTTGAGTTCTAACAAGGAGGATGAAATTACGCCAGAAAAGATTTATGTATCACTAGTTTCTCTTATAGAAGAAATCTACGTCATGAAAAACCCAATTTATATCCAAGAGAACACACTGCAAGAGACAATGAATTTTGTTATCGGGCTGCACAATGAGAAATTATCATTTGTCTCTATAATGCAATGTTGTTGGTTCGGTCGAGCCTTGTACCTGATGTACAATCTTCCTGGCATTTTTCAACCAAAAATTCGGGTTGAATATTTGTGTTGGGTAGAACTCAAGAAAGGAACCACTTATACTTCCAGCTTGACGACAAGGTGATTTTCGAAGGGGCAAGGAGTGATATGCCATTGATTGGCGATGATCGTGCAACAAGAATGATGTATATTACCTTATATATGTAATTAGGAAAATAATTAGCATATATGTGTAATTGGTAATTAAGAGAATAATTAGTCATTTTATTATTATAATTGCATTATTTTAGGTAGTGAGATAGTATATATACTATATAGGGTATTCTATGTAATGCAAAGACATGCAGAAATCATTTATATTAAAGAGTTCTTCATTTTCTTTCGTTATATTGTTTTTCTTTTGGAGTTACGTAACTCGAATACAGATTGGAGCCAGAAGCGTGTTCAAAAGGTTTCTTACGTTGCGTACTAAATTTCAATACGTAACAACCCGCATGAGCAGCTCAGTTAGTCACAGGGGTGAAATTTAGAAACAATGATTCGAGATCAAGTACCAGTGACAGTGTGGAACCAGCCTCTCAAAGTGAGGGGACCTCCTTGTGCACAGTAAACAAATGTCTAACCTTTATGTTTAGCTGAGTTGCCATGATTTACATTCTCTCAAATATTCTGTCGGACTAAAGTTTGAGAAGCCCTTAGAGTTAAGGTTTCCACCTTTTGGAAACGATTAACATATTTAGATCCACCAAGTTATAAATGATATAATAATTACATGTGTAGGAAAGAAAAAAAAAAAGTATATATCCACATATAATATGTACGACACACTTCAAGAATAAACTAGAATCCTCTCTTCCCTAAACGATATATGTTT